CCCAGCGGTCCCTCTGCTGAAGGGCTCCGGGCAGTGGGGTCCGGGCGCTCGGACGTCGTGGGGCGGCCAGCGCCGACGCCGTGTGCGGTTCCCGCATCCAGCGGGACGGGCGCATCGCGGAGCTGCAGAAGCACAGGACGGTTTCCAGAGGCTTCACGTCGCGTTGGGGTTTTGGTGGAGCTGCGGAGGCAACGGTGTGAGAGCTTCCAGCAAGCACTGATGGGGAAGCCCGCATCCACCACCTCTTTCCAAAGAAGAGCAGAAATTTTATTTCCAGTAACATCTTTTTTTTCTGCTGTTAAAGAGGCACCAAAATGTCAGCACTGAAGTACTGCGTTCCAGGCTGAGATGTTCTCACTGCTTGGTTCTCACATGGTATTATACAGGGATATATTCTTATTTCATGGGAGCACGCGCTCAGTCTGGAGAGCGGTATTTCCAAAGGGTCCCTGCTGCATGTCTTCGGCAGCAAGAGAGAGATTAGACGGCTTTAAGGAAAACTGTTAACTGGCAATTAATAAACCTCCTAAGAACAGTCGTCTTCCAGCTTTTACATGGAAATAATAGACCTCCATTTGTCAGAAACCTGAAATCAGGGAACGGGTTGCAACTGAACAGCTCTGCAGATGGAGAGCTGGATGTGTGAAACAAGGCAAAGGGAGTAACAGCTTCTGCTCACCCACGGCTGCTGGCGCAGGCCTTCACACAGCCCGGGAGGAAGGAGCTCGCCTGCGCTGTTGTCCAGCCTGCTGACGTGTTTCTTTTCATCATCACCTTCCTCCTGGAGAAGCGTACGACGGGACTGCTCTGTCTGCAAACAGACAGTTGGGTGGCTGCTCCCAACTCAACGTCGGAAAGGCATCACGCGAGGAAATCATACTTGGTACAGGGAGCTGGGATGTTGCTTGATCATTCTCTTCTTGTTTTTGACAGCGGCTCCCATCGGGGAAACTGGCTCAAAGACTTGCCATGAAGTGCCCTGGACCTCCAGAGAGCTTGAGATTTGCCTCCTTCCTGGAGAACGCCTTAGCCAGAGAGGCTAGGATTTGGAAAGCGCCAGTTTTCCAGAGTCTCACCCTGAAGGTATTCTCCCCTGTCCTCTTTGCACATCCCTCAGGGACGCCGTGGAGATGCGGTGCTGGTCCTGCCATCTAATCCACCTGAAAGCAGAAGTCATCCCGCACGGATGGGATGGAAGGGGGGGGAGGGTCTGTGCTTGTCCCGTCTCACATCGGATGAATGCCCCATGTAAGCCAGGTGCTTTGCGTTTTGTTTTGATTCAAGTAGTTTTGGGAAATCTGGTGGCGCAGGCAAGAGCAGACAATCGATGGTGAAGCCGTAAATATGTCACGTTTGTGTCAGTGGTGCCCAACACCATCTTCGAGTCCCATCTGTTCAGGTGGGAGAAAGGGGAATTCGCTGAGGCCTGACAGACACCCAGCCCCATTCCTGTTCTGTGTAGCTGCTCGGCCCTTTCAGTTCTTCTACAATAATGTTCAGCTACGTGCCATGGCTCACGTGTGGCGTTGTGATGGCAGCCAGAGTGAAGTCCTTCCTCTCGCCGGAATGCGTCTTCAAATAAGTTATAAGAAAGAAAAAACTGAGTACGTTTTGCCTTGTGCCTTGAGGGAGTCATAAACCTGGCTTCTGTGGTCCCAACGTGAAGCAAATTCAAGGGCTGTTAAAAACCAGAAATCTTGCGGAGTAAATCAAAACCTGCTTCTGGCTCCCTTTTCTCTCCCCCTGTCGAGGCTGTCCAGATGAAACACGGGCTGCTGCGGAGGCTGCTGCCTGCTCTGGAGGGGGAGGTACTGACCACGCTCAGCACCTTGTTCACAGGAGCCCGGTTTGGTGGCTCAGCTGTGCAAGGGGAGGGCTGGGTGCTTTCCCAGTCAGAGCTCCAGGGAATTCCAGTCCCAGACCCCTGCAGGCGCAGCCAGAGCCTGGCTGGGTGGGCAACACGAATGAGCGCTTCAAACTGCTCTGGAATTTTCCCTTGCCCTTGCTCTGTAGACACTGCCGACAACTTTCTTCATTCCAAGCCTCCAGACATCTGAAATGTTAATTAGAGCACTTGGAATGATTGGAGTCTTCCTTTGGAGATAGGTTAACAAAATCATCAAAGCACTAATTGTATTTTTCTTCTCTCTCTCTCTCTCTTCCCCTCAGGGTACAGATATCTCTCTGTCGTGTTACAAGAAAGCGGTTCTCTGGATGGCAGAAATAAGCTCTCAGTTCCAGTTTTACCCTGAAACATTTGCCTTAGCTACCAGCATCCTTAACCGGTTCCTGGCATCAGTAAAGGTGGAGAATCTCTGCCAGCTTTTTCCTGGCTAGATTACTGATAGGGGTGTAAGGGGTGTGTAATCAGCTTGTACACAAAGCAGGTGCTATGTTTGGCAGCAGATTTAGGGAGCAGCCAGGGCCTTTGCCAGGGAAAGGCTTTTAAGCATATATATATGTATATATATATGTAAAGTCAAGCATTTGATGAGGTGCCACTGATTCACAGTCCTCGGTAGCAGTGTTTGTGTGAACTGCAGTCCAAACGCTGCGATAAGGACAGAGAACTCAATATCACCTGGTTGTCTCTGCTAAACAGAAAACATTTGCATTATCGCTTCTAATATTTTAGTTTTGAAACCACTATTTTTAAGCAAACTGCGGGGCCAACTTTTTCTGCCACTGAAGCAACAGCAAAGTTACGAGTGGAACTGAGCCTTGCAGCTCTCAATTCTATTTAGATTGGTACCGGCATTTAGCAAACGCATATTAATTAATGTGTCAGCTGAGAAGAGGAATAACACTGCATTGCAAATACTGTGGCATTGCATAGTCTAAAAATTGTGGGATATGTGAGTAACAATGGCAATATGAAGAGGATTTATTTTGTTTCACTTTGGCTTTCCTTGCTCTATTTCCACTTCAGGTGAAGCTTTCTGCAGCTAAACTAATTCAGAAGCAAATGTAGCTTAAAGGAAAGTTTGAAAATTGTGGCTCTGTCGTAGAATGACAGTTATTTCCCCCAGGACTGTTACTGTCTTTATTCAGTGTTTTCTTCTTCTTCTCCCTTCAGGCCCAATTAAAATACCTTCAGTGCATAGCAACTTCCTGCCTTGTCCTGGCAGCAAAAACCAACGAAGAAGATGAGGTCTGTACGTTTAATTTTCAGCACACTGAGCTCATGATGTGTTCAGGTTGTTTGTGTTTCCAGGCCTTTCAACAGCTTGGGCACAGCGAGGGACGGCTAACTCATTTCCCCGAAGTAGTCCTTACGGGGTGACAGGAACGCTTCCAGCCCCGTTTCATCGTTGCTTGGGAGATTGGTGACGTTTATGGATGAAGGACTTGTGTTTGCTTATGTAGTGGACATGTTTACCTCCTCCTCCTGCTCTTAAACCTCCCTCCTCTCCAGAATCCACGGCAGCAGTGAAGCTTGGTCTGGGAGGGACGGTCACGGTGCACAGGCGCAGCAGCGGGGTGCTGCGGGTCTGCTGCAGCGTGTCCTGGGAGGGCCAGGTAGGCGAGACAGAGCAGAGCTTCTTCAGAGGAAGCGTAGAACAGAGAAGTTTGCTAGCAGTCGAAACCGGTTTCTGAACCTGGTGAGGAAATGACTCAGGTCTGCACCTCAAGGTGAGCCTGAGTTACCGTACACACCACAGTAAGCGTGAGGCTGCGCGGGGTAAGCTCTCGTGGCAGAAATGCGCTGGCAGCCCTCTTCAGGCCTTTACAAACACGAGCCAAAAGCATTTCAGATGGCATTTCTCCTTTTTCCTTCACTCTGTTCTGAGGAAGACCAGGAAGCCTAAGAGCTGGAGTCAGACACACGTCTCTTCAGACAGCTCCTGCTGTAGCGAGACGCTCTGCGTAGCCTTTCTCGGGATGTGTCGCCCGGAGGTTCTTCTTCTTCTCCCCCCTCGGCTGAGAAGCTGAGTCAGTGACCGCAGGAAACCAGGCAGCCGCAGCCGGCCCTGCAGAGCAAGCTATTTTTATTCGTAATTTCAAATGTTATTTTCCACTATTATTCAGAATAAGCAGTAAAATTACTTTTTGGTAAGAAAGGCAAATTCCTAAATAAATATACTCCACGAAGCATGCTTCCACATACCCGATTAACTACTACAGCGGCCCCGCGGCGAGTAGGGCCCAGTCTTCAGCCAGGATGGGAGATACCCAGGGGAGCGGTCTCCTGAGCGAGGGCTCCGCGTGGCACCTCGCCCTGCGCATGAGCTGGGCGGGTCCCTTCGCAATACAGAGAAACGCACACCGCACCGTACAGGACGTTGGCTTCTTTATTATTTTTATTTTTTTAACAGGTAATACCATCGGTGAAGATGCTCGCAGTGCGGAGTGGTTGTAAACGCTCTCCAGCTGAGATCTTGAGAATGGGAAGAAAAATACTAGATAAGCTTCACTGGGATCTTTACACAGCAACACCAATGGATTTCTTAAACATTGTAAGCACTAAGTTTTGCAAATCTTTTTTCTTTAAAGAAACAACTCCTTATCAAATAAGACTAGAAAACACCGATGCGCGCACACACACACGCCCACGCATCCTTCCCAAGATGCTTCGCAAACTACCTGCTCTTAGCTATCTGCAAGTCTGCTGAAGAATGTTACAGTGATTTTTTTTTATTTAAAATTTTCTATTATTTAAAACCTTTCGCTTTGCTCAAAAAACTTACTCCCGTCTTTAAAGGACAACTAAAATGACTTTAAAAAGATTCTCATAATGCACAACTATACGCCATTTTTATTTTTTTAAATACACACTGCAAAAATATTTCTAACTATTTCCATTCTATTAATACTGTACATAGAAAGCTGTCAGAGTTTTGCTACATTTCACACACAGGTGTTTTCTTAAATCATTCTCCTTTTCATCCCACTAATTATTCACCCTTGTTTTAGGCAATGAGACTACCCCAATCTGGCACTTAGTTCACATTGCAGTTACTAAACATCTGATAGAAACAATTAAACTTGGTCTTCAAGAAACGATCGTGTGCTAGTAAGGCAAAGATCACGTGACACGAACACATCCTGGATCCCTTTTGTAAGGTTATGTGCAAATATTAAGCCATCGTAGGCTGCTGATTGTGAAAAGCCTTCCTTAGGTGCTGGTTTCCTCAGCAAAGTCAGAGTGCAGTCAGTGTTCCTGGTTTCACTTCACTCACATCCGCTGGCCTGGACTGAATCTCCTGGATAGCAATCTGGGTAACGTAGAAGCTGCAGAACTTGTTAGGAAACACAGACCTTGTACATTCATCGTAAGCTCAAAAAAACAGTTCAGTGGTTGGCAAGTACAAACACAAAACACAAAAAAAAAAAGGAGGAGAGGGGAACCCTTTAGGTTTCCTGATACGAAATGAAATTTGTAGTTCTGGTTGATAACATATGAAAACATACAAAGTTCACTGACCTCTGCTTTTATTTTTATATATATATATATATATATGTACTCTATCCTCTCTCCAGTTCCATGGCACGGTGCTGTCCCGCCGGCCCCATCTGCTCCGCGGGCCACCTCAGATGAACCCTTCGCGCCACGTCGCGCTCTTGACCAAGCAGCTGCAGCACTGTATGGCGTGCCACCAGCTGGTGCAGTTTAAGGGCTCCACGTTGGCTTTGGTGATCATCACCTTGGAGCTGGAGAGGCTCACTCCGGACTGGTTTCCTGCTATTGCTGATCTGCTAAAAAAAGCACAGGTAGGAATCAAAATGGCCTTCGGTCATGAATCCCGAGGCCAGGACACCGATAAATTAATAAAGTGCGTGTGTATTTACAACCAACATTGCACTTCAGCGGCGCGTGTCCGTGTTCTGCCGTTGCTGCAGACCCTGCTAGCGCTAGCAAGGGGGGATAAAACCGCAGTCACGGGCTGGGACTGGGGAGAGGGCTTTGCCTTT